CTGTTGGCACCATGGTCCTGTTAGTAGTGAGGTTATCTTAACAACATGGTCCTGTTGGCACCATGGTCCTGTTAGTAGTGATGTTATCTTAACAACATGGTCCTGTTGGCACCATGGTCCTGTTAGTAGTGAGGTTATCTTAACAACATGGTCCTGTTGCCACCATGCAGGCAGGTGGAGGATCATGGAGACAGCTGTCATGACAGGCAGAGCCTGAGCCCGAAGATGGAAGGTCTGAACCACGATGGCACAATGACAAGGTAGCGACACAGATTCCACAAGTGTGTCGCGGTCATACCGTACCGTGGGTGCGCGATGTATGTGCAAAAAAAAAAAGGTAAAACAAAATCAACAGGAATAAAAAAACCTGGAGTCGAAACGGCGCTTTCACCAGTGCTACCATAAATGTGTGTCTGGTGTGTGCGTGTCTGTGTGGCTGATCCGGTGTGGGAGGGAGTTTTGTTGTCTGTTCTTGTTTTGTTTTAAGTGTTCTAAAAAAAAAAAAAAAAAAGACTGATTAAAAAAATACAAGATATAAGTGTCAGATTTCTAAATATCAAATATGATTCACTGGAAACCAACAATTTTACCAATGTTATTAAATATATTAAAATCCAATATGGCTGTTTTCATTCGGTCCCTGAACCCTTGTCTCTTACCATGTTGGGTTTCCTTCTGTTTTCCCGTCCACACTGAAGCACAACATGCTGCACAAACAGCGGGGTTATTAAGAGTCCAGATTTTTGAGAGCGCTTTAACTGATGGAAAGGATTTCAGATCCAAGATCCATCCATCCATCCATCCATTTTCTTCCACTTTTCCGGGGTCGGGTCGAGGGGGTAGCAGCCTAAGTAGGGAGGCCCAGACTTCCCTCTCCCCAGCCACTTGGGCCAGCTCTTCCGGGGGAATCCCGAGGCGTTCCCAGGCCAGCCGAGAAACATAGTCCGTCCAGCGTGTCCTCGGTCTTCCTCTGGGCCTCCTTCCGGTGGGACGTGTCCGGAACACCTTACCAGGGAGGCGTCCAGAAGGCATCCTAAACAGATGCCCAAGCCACCTCAACTGGCTCCTCTCGACGTGAAGAAGCAGCGGCTCTACTCCGAGTCCCTCCCGGATGATCGAGCTTCTCACCCTGTCTCTAAGGGAGAACCGAGACACCCTGCGGAGAAAACTCATTTCGGCCGCTTGTATCCGAGATCTCATTCTTTCGGTCACAACCCAAAGCTCGTGACCATAGATGAGGGTGGGAACGTAGATCGATCGGTAAATTGAGAGCTTCGCCTTTTGACTCAGCTCTCTCTTCACCACGACAGACCTGTACAGCGCCCGCTTCACTGCAGACGCTGCACCTATCCGCCTATCAATCTCACGCTCCATTTTTCCCTCATTCGTGAACAAGACCCCAAGATACTCGAACTCCTCCACTTGGGGTAGGACCTCCTCCCTGACCCAGAGAGGGCACTCTACCCTTTTCCGGCTCAAGACCATGGCCTCGGATTTGGAGGAACTGATCTTCATCCCGGCTGCATCGCATTCGGCTGCGAACCGCTCCAGCGAAAGCTGTAGATCACGATCTGATGAAGCCAATAAGACCACATCATCTGCAAAAAGCAGAGACGCAATCCTAAGGCCACCAAAACGGATCCCCTCAACACCTTGGCTGCGCCTAGAAATTCTGTCCATAAAAGTTATGAACAGAATCGGTGACAAAGGGCAACCTTGGCGGAGTCCAACTCTCACCGGGAGCAAGCCCGACTTACTGCCGGCGATGCGGACCAGGCTCTGACACCGGTCATACAGGGACCTAACAGCCCGTATCAAAGGGCCCGGTACCCCATACTCCCAGAGTACCCCCCACAGGGCCCCCCGAGGGACGCGGTCGAACGCCTTCTCCAAGTCCACAAAGCACATGTAGACTGGTTGGGCAAACTCCCACGCACCCTCCAGGACCCTGCTGAGAGTGTAGAGCTGGTCCAGTGTTCCACGGCCAGGACGAAAACCACACTGTTCCTCCTGAATCCGAGGTTCGACTATCCGACGGACCCTCCTCTCCAGAACCCCCGAATAGAC